CTTCAAATTGCAGACGATCACACAGAGAATTAAACATTTGGAAAACATTTTATTAATCAATAAACTTTGGTAAATATAACTTTTAGCTTCTTTGATCCTTTTTTTCATATAAATAGCGTATCCAGACACATGCAAACTAAAACTGCACATCTGCACATGACAAGCATAAATTTGTCTATTATGATTTTCTAGGCGTAACTTAGTTGTAGCACAAGAATGCCAATTCTCAGTCATGAAGAGTTTCTCTTTAAATATCTACTAATATATCTACTAATATATCTATCCTGGACACCATACAGGTACCATATACGCCATTTTGGTTATTATCGGTTTCTTTAGACAAAAAAAAAATAGCAGAATCTTCATGAATCTTCGTGAATCTCTTTAAATAAAAACTTTTAAACTAACCTTTTTGGGGTTTACGGCTACATCACGTTGAAATTGTTAATCGGAGAGCCGAGTTTTAATTCCAGTTGGGTTCATAGACGTGGTTTTTGATTATATCTGATAAACATTATCTGGTTTAACCCACCATATAACAAAACTGTTAAAACGAACATAGGCAAAATATTCCTAAACTTAATAGAAAAACACTTCACTGAAGAAAACAAATTATCAAAAATATTTAACAAAAATAACGTAAAGATCAGTTACAGCTGTACAAAAACATAACAGATATAATCAAAACCACAACAAAAAAAAATGACAACCGACAAAAATGTAACCAAGGATCCTATATGCAACTGCAGAAACAGAGCAACATGTCCACTCCAGGAAATTGCCAAATTACGAACACAATATACAAAGGCCAAGGTAAGTACAAACAACAACACTATGCACTACATCGAAACCACCGAAGGTCCATTCAAGATGAGGAATAACAATCACAACCTTTCATTCAACAACAGGAAATATTCGAACAGCACAACACTTTCTACATACATATGGCAGCAAAAAGACAAAAACATCACACCAACAATAAGTTGGGAAATATTGAAAAAAGCCCCTGCCTACAACAACATTACGAAAAAATGCCTACTTTGCCTACACGAAAAAGTAGCAATAATATCACACAAACCGCAAAAGAACTTGCTAAACAAAAAATCAGAGATAATCTCCAAATGTAGGCATGAGAACAAGTATCTATTATCCGAATTCATACCAAACGGATAAAACAGACAAACCACCAACAATCACAATAATTTCAAGATACCATCAAAATAATTGCACCTATCATTATTATAATTGCACCACCATTAGTAATCACTTTTACCACCTTACAATATCTATTAACTATCAATATTATCATTACCACCTACACACAGCACCATCACTTACACATCACACCCACTATTAACATATAATCCACTACAATCTTTATTACACCCCCCCAGCATATTTAATACTTTAAAACAATATGATCAGATATAATTTCCATATGTAACCATGAGAACAAACACCTATTACCAGGCAGCTTTAATATAATAATAATAATTTTGTAATTAAAAATTATAGCAATCTTCAACTACCATAATTTTACATAGAATACCTATTATCAGGATTTATACCAAAATAAATTAATACATATAACAAAATAAAACAAAAATAAAACACCAACAACCACTTTTTAGTTCAAGCTACCACCACTATAACTATATTCATGGTTTTATCATTCTCCCACCACCGTTACTAATCATTTCTACCAATCTGCAATTTCTTCCAGTTTACAATAACTATTAGCTAAAACCTAAATAGCATTGTCTCCAATCCTTTGAAACATTACTATCTCATCATATCATATAAACCCGTTATTAAATTAAACATCACCATATAAATTAAACAATAAGGATTACAATTTTTTACCTGTTACATATACACAGTCACCAAAACAAACAAATAACCAGCTTTAAATATAACAAATAAACCCCCATTTTTTTCAAAAATTTAAAAATAAATATAAATAATTTAATAATAATTTTTACCTATCATAATTTTACACAAACCCCACCACACATATATACATACATGCGAGAAAATATTTTTCAAATATTTTTCAACGGAAAAAAAAAAAAAAAAAATTTCATAATATGACATGGATACATTCACGAGACAATAACGAGACATTTCCGCCACACTTCCAATGTTTAAATTTCAACATTTCAACATACAAATGCGTATGTATAGACATAACACCACCCGTATACATACATGTGTCATAGCCGAAACTGTCTACATATGTTTATATATGTGTATGAGTCCCGACGGACGACCAAGTATGTATATGTATATGTGTCTGCATACATCGATGTTTGCGTTTGTACGATGAATGACAAAACGACGAAATCTCCACCACCACTTCCACAATAACACCAATACACGCAATCTACATAAACCCAAATTTTTTAAACAGTAATCAGTTTGTCTGACGATCGCTAAAGCGTGAAACCCAGGGTCACAAACTCACATCTATCCAACCAAATATATATATATATATATATATATATATATATATATATATATATATATATATATACATGTGGGGGTGAAAAATATAGAAAATAGGGAAAGAACTCGTGAGGTAAATAATCCAAAGTTCTTTAGTATTTTTGTTGTTATTTTTAAAAAAAATAGTGCTCGATACAAAAGTAGAGCATAAATATAATTATCTATTTAAAAATATGATTCCAACACGCTACATAAGAGTTCTCATGTTTCAAAACAAGAGCCGTAAACTTCAATATAATTATTTGAATTAAATTGAATTAAAGTAAGCTCTGTTCCATCTTCAACCGAATTTTTTTTGGAATCTCCAATCTATCCGGTTAAGGCAGTGGAGAACTTTCAGAGGGAAATTAACAGGAGATAACTGATAACTGACATCCATCAAACATGGCACGTGGAACTAGAACAGTCTACCCCAGTGAGCGAAATAAAGAGTTCAGTTCGACATTCCAACCACCTGAAGAAGGCCGGAGCGTACAACGGCCGAAACGTTGTGATAAATATGGCGAAAAAGATGAGGACAATAGTCCGAATAATGTAAATAATGTACATAATACCTCATCTCAGAAATATAGACAGACTCTGAAGTAAAAGATCATATATATATATATATATATATATATATATATATATATATATCTTACAGAAAATGGTGGATAATTCTGGAAGATTTCGAATGGAGAGAAGTTAATGCTTATGACAATTAATATTTTTATTAGTGTAATAAGGAACAGAACTAAAGAAGTACCTTGACGAAATATATATATATATTACAGCAAAAGAGACCTTAATGCTTTATATATAGATATTATTATTATGTATTAGGGTTCATCAAAATTATTGTCTACAAATCTATATCTATATCTCATGAACGCATCGAAAGACTATCACTAAAACCACTGTATTATTATTATTATTATTATTATTATTATTATTATTATTATTATTTCCTTTGATTTATTGTGTATATTCATTTCTTTCCGCCCCCCTCAGGGACCTAAGATCAGAAATGGCATCATGACATTTTCCACTGTGCAATAAAACAAACAAACACACACACACACATTTTATATAGATAAAGCCCTTCGTAAGGTGTGGGCTATACTCGTTCGTGAGAACAAATCTTTTGAATTTCTTTAAAGCATGGACTTCTAGGAATCCTCTCAATGAGTCTATTGGAATTTTTTTCAATCAATCCGAGGGCTCCAACTACAACAGGGATTGTTGATATTCTCATTTTTCCACATTTTTGAGATTTCGATTTCAAGGTCCTTGTCTTTAGATAGCTTTTTGAAGATCTTCAAAGATACATTGCAGTCCCCGGGCACTGCCAATTCAATAAGGAGACACTTTTTGTGTGCGGTCTCTAATAACAATGTCTGGGCGGTTAGCTTTGATTGTTCTGTGTGTGTGTGTGTGTGTATTATGTAGCCCCATAAAATCGTTACAGATCCTATCTCTGTAACCGGTTCTTCTCTTTGTTCTTCTTGTTTTTGTTGTTGTTGTTCTTCTTCTTCTTCTTCTTCTTATTATTATTATTATTATTATTATTATTATTGACTAGAAAGACCCGTGAAAAGTTCACAGTTTTCCTATTTTAATTTTAATGATTGAATACGCTCATGGCAAGCGCTACGACAATGAAATAACCGTAGAAATTCCCCTATCGCATCGTTAAAAATTTGAGCTTATCAACTTTGACAAAACATTGCAATAACAATTATAAATGTGAATGCTGGAAGTAAGGGGATACAAATGAAAAGATTTGAAATTGACAACTTTATTCCATTTCACTGAAAAAACGTTAATACTTCTATCTTCCTTTTTTTTTATTTCTAGCTTTCTTTTTCTCACTGCCATCAAACAGCGTCTCTGATATGTCTTTCCCCCATTTCCACGCGATCAAAACCAAATAGTCCATGATTTAGGAGGTATTGGCAATGCGTGATGTACGGACGTGTTAGGATCTAATATATATATATATATATATATATATATATATATATATATATATATATATATATATATATATGATATAAATTAAGAAGGATTTGAGATAATTAAATAATCATCGAGTCTCGAAGAAACCTCAACAGAATGAAGAAAGCACTGGACGGCCGTTTCGTCCAATATTTGGGACTCATTAAGTCGATATTGCGCAGCTCATTCACCTGAGTGGCGCAATATCGAGTCTAGTTCTCTACCTCTTTGTCACTGAGGCTCGTTAGTACAGTTGGTATGACGTTTGCCTGTCAATCTAACTGTCCTCGTTTCAATTCTCGGTAGTGGATGAGTCCTAAAGATAGGACGAAACGGCCGTCTAGTACTTTCTGCATTCTGTTGAGGTTTCTTCTAAACTTCGATGAATTACTTTATATATATATATATATATATATATATATATATATATATATATAAAGAATGTAATATATATAATGTAGTATATCAGCTTTTCAGTCGATCCGTGTAGATAGATAGATAGATAGATGTTAACAAACTGAGATAGATAGGTAAATACAGAGATAGGTAAATAGATAGAAGTTAACAAATTGAGATAGATAGATAGATAGATAGGCAGAGTAGACTTATATTGATAGACAGATGTTAACAAACTAGGATAGATAGATAGATAGATAGATAGATAGATAGATAGATAGATAGATAGAGATTTATATAGATAGACAGCCAGCCAGATAGATAGATAGATAGACAGACAGACTAGCCTTATATTGATAGATAGATGGATAGATAGAGTTGGATGTTAGTAAAATTATTTCTGCGTGTGATACAGTATTACGATTTTTCAAGCAGAAGTTCGTGGAATAAAGTATATCTATGAATTATATCTGAAAATGTTTGAATTTGGAATTTAATCTTAAATGTAGGAGTTTGTTTTTTTTAAGCAGTATTTGAATTTTCAGAAACTTTTCACATTAGCGATAAGAGAGATCTGATCCATAAAAAAAAACCTGACACTCGTTGAATCATCTTAATTACACAGGAAATTCTGCGTATCTATTTCGTATTTTTCCCCTGACGAGATTATTAAAAAAAAAAAAAAAGAAAAAAAAAGCAGTAGAAATATGCTTTTTTTCCGAAACGAATATGAACTGCAAACGACCAATCACAGCGAACCTGTGTGGGTAGCGAGTCATTGATTGGTTGTTTCTAAACCATATATTTTCGGCTCTCCTTGTTACCTGGGCCAAAATATCTATTTCTCGAGCCTTTCCCTCCCACTACTCTCTCTCTCTCTCTCTTTTCTCCATATATATATATATATATATATATATAAGGTAATTGAATGCACAAATCTGGTGCTCAATATCGGATATGGATATATATATATATATATGTATATATATGTGTGTGTGTGTGTTAGATGGGTGACCGCTTGGGTATATCGGTTGCTGTAACCTTGGAAGTGTGGGTGGTGTAACGAATAATGCCTTGGAATTGATAATCTGAGAACCGATTTCCAGTTTCAGTTGGATTCGTTATATTCGCTTACGCGCAAATACTCGTGTAAAAGCTATGAATCGACTTCTTCTCTCCCCAGCTATGGGTTAATTAGTAAGACTTTTATCATTAAGCTATTATTATATTAATAAATAAAATTAAATTCAATTGCATACAAATATTTAATTTTCGGCATTACATAACTCATAGAGTTGTTGATATGCAGTAAAACAAAAACAACCAGCACACACGCGCGCACACATATACACACATACACACACACACACACACACACACACACACATACACACACACTCGATTCTCTTTGGAGGTAACACCCCCCCCTCATGCTCCTGAAAAAATTATTCCTGTTGAGCTCTCCGGGGAGGAAGCCTGAGTTTCTAAAGAGTGATTATTACTGTTAATAATGCAAGACTCTTCGGTAAAGCGATTCGAGTTCTCTCAGTCACTGTGTGTTTATTTAAAAATAAATATGCTTCAACCCTGCCGGCTTAGGGGTAAAATCTCCGACTGACGCCAATTCAGCCGGGTTTCGATCCTAGCTAGAGGCAACCGGACGTCTAGCCATACTGATGAGCTATGATACAGCGAAACAGTCTATCTGTGGATGACAATAATATATATATATATATATATATATATATATATATATATATATGTTATGGGAAAGTGGCCTAGTGGTTAGAATGTTCGCTTTCTCACCCGGGTTCGACTCTCACCATGGTCGATTTGTCAAGAAGGAGACTTCCTGAGGTTTTCGGTCTAGAGGGGTTTATCCCAGCGTGCTGCACCTTTGGAAAGTGCCTGTAAATTTATACCACGGGTTGACTCATGCCTTCTGAGTGAAATTGGGTAGACAATACCCTTGTGCTAGCTCGAAGTGACCCGGAGGTTTGAGTGTGCTGGCCTTGGTCAGATTGTTGATTATGCTAGATAACACGCTCTGTCCCAAAAATTGTAACTACGGTCTACTCAGCATAGTTGCAGTATAAACCACAGGTGGGCTCTGTGGCTGTTGATTGAGTTATATAGAAGGACAGACTGAGCTTTGTAACCCTGGTTGGTAACCAGTCTAGGAGAATTACAACACTAAATTCAAAACGTTTTACTTGTAAGCAATGGCAATACTCGTCTAGGAAGTAGGCATCATTATTTGCTATATTTATAGAGGAGTGTGCTCAGTATAAGAGCTACATCATTTATAGATACAGACAGCTTCGATACAAGAATCAACTTTGCATGGCGAATGTCAAATTCACACTTATAATGTAATCTTCAGGCATGTTAGAAGTATTGATTGCTATATCCACACTCTCTCTATATACAGGGTGAGTCAAAATTATATTAGCACTAGTATGAGAGAATGAATCAAATTTATGTTCACATTAGTATGAGAAGAATCAGTTATTCAGAGTTCACTGAACAGTCTCCACCTGTCCACCAACACGATTGATGCGCAAAAACCAGCGATCAACAATACAATTTAGTGCCTTGACATACATTTCACAGGGAATGTTTGATATTACACCTTTGATTCTGTCATTGAGTTCTTCAAATTTTTTTGCTATACACGCGTTCCTTTATCAGACCCCATAACCAGAAGTCACAGTGTGTCAGATCAGAGGTGTGTGGTGGTGATGCCAACGGTCTGCCGCTACCTATCCAACGATTTGGGAAACTTTAATCGAGACAAGCGCGAACAGTACAGGCATCCTGTTGGAAATAGCTTGTTCGTCTGATTTGTAGGGGTATGTTATCAATGGCAAACTCTTGCAACATTCGTAAGTAAGCATTTGCTGTCACCGTCGGAGTTGTAAAGAAGTATGGACCAATTACAGCCTGTGACTTCTGTACGATGTATGTCTGATATTGAGCACGTTACGTCACAAATATAGACTAGATTAAAACTATATTTCTATCATTATTATATATATATATATATATATATATACACTACAGAGTCTGTCTATATTTCTGAGATGAGGTATTATGTACATTATTCGGACTATTGTCCTCATCTTTGCCGCCATATTCATTACAACGTTTCGGCCTTCTTCAGGTGGTTGGAATGTCGAACTGAACCCTTTATTTCGCTTACTTGGGTAGACTCTTCTAGTTGCACGTGCCATGTTTAATGGATGTCAGTTATCCTGTTAATTTCCCTCTAAAAGTTCTCCACTGCCTTAACCGGGTATTGAATTCACACTTTTTGGGTCTTGTCACTGGATCTAACCAACGTCTTTATCCACTGTGCCATGTGTCCTTGAGGACATTTGTGTATGAATTTTATAAACCTAATGTCTTCAGCAACCATTTTTACCAGTGCTCATATTGCAATTTTTAACAGGGGATAATTGATAACTGACATCCATCAAAACATGACACGTAGAACTAGAACAGTATACCCCAGTGAACTAAATACAGGGTTCCGTTCGACATTCCAACCACCTCCTTGAAAATACAGATTCTGTTTTTTTCGACCGAAACGTTGTAATAAATATGGCGACAAACATGAGGACAATAGTCGAATTATTTTCCAAATGTATATATACTACAGTTCAAAATTTTAGGCTACCCCTGGTATTTTCTTAAATTTGCCGAAAAAGTAGTTGTTTTCTACTTTAAATAAGAGAAAATTATTTAACATGGTTACAAAAAAAAGTGAGAGATTTTTATTATGACAAAAACAAAAATGCGTTTTATGATTAAATTTTGCCCTCGTCAAAATATCCTCTTTTAACCTTGATTACTGCAGCACAAATTTTTGGTATTCGTTACAGAAGTTGCTCAAAGTACAAGTTTGATAATTGATTTCATTCTTTTTTCAGTGATTCTAAGAGCACATTTTAATTTTTTTTTTTTTTTTCACTCTTCTGTCAGTTTCATCCCTGTGCTAATTCTGGGGGTGGCTTCAAACTTTTAAAGTGTCGTCTGCCATATATATATATATATATATATATATATATATATATATATATATATAAGACGGTGATATATAATTTTAGGAATAATTTTAGGAAAATCTGTGGCAAAATATGACAAACTCAGTGATTTAATATACAGAGTGTTTCAAAAAATTTGATATCATTTCGCAATCTAATAACTTTGTTAGATCTCCTTCAAATGACTTCAAATTTTAATAGCACCTTTATGTTTAATGTTTGTTTTATGTTTTTATGTCTTTATGTTTTTGTTTTTTCTTATTTGTATATTTATGTTCTTTAATCTTTAATCTTTTTCTTTACAGGTATAAAAATGCTATTTACTAGAAGAGAAAAGGCGTTTTGTGTGTTCACATAATCCACATGCTTTTGAATTTCTCATTCAAATTTAAAAGAATAAATCTTATGATCTTCAACATTAATACTTTTTAATTTCATTTGCCTTAATCATGTACTTTCTGTGATATTTACATCTCAAAGGATATCAAATTGTTTGAAACACCTGTATATTATTCTACTCACTTTGCCAAGGATTTTCCTCATATATATATATATATATATATATATATATATATATATATATATATACTGTGTTTTATTTGACATTTACTAACGTGATAAAGCCCTTTTTCCAGCATGCAGTAACGGAAGAGCTAACACAGTGTTTCCCTTTTGCAAATGGCCCCCTTTCATGTTTTCTGCAACGCCCATACATCTCCGGTTGCCCCACCAAAAAAAAAAAATGTCTATCTTTGGAAAATCTCACAGCCCCTATCTTCGTCCCTTGACATGAGTCATTGGCAAGTCGGATTCTCAAACCGACTTTTACATGACGTTGAGAAAACCTATTTTTTATTTTATTTTGTCCGTTATCTCTTTGAAATTGTACTCACTAAAGATAATCTTATCTTTAAAAGTATACACACAATCTTGAACACACACACAAATTTATATATACTTAAGAGTGTACATACATACATATATGTGGCGTAATGGTTACAATTACGACTCAGTAGTGAATTCGATTAACACTAGGTGCTCCATATTTTCGGCCTTGTGTTACATCTAAACTACGCTTAGAAAATTAAGGGGACCTCGACGTGGCGTAAAGGGAAGCAAGCTTGTGTCGCTAGAACAATTACTACTGAGTAGTGAGTTCGTTCGTCACTGGGTGCCCCATACTTTCGGCCTTGTGTCACATCTGAGCTACGCTTGGAAAATCACTACTCACAAATATATTATCATTGATGGGTAAGAGTCTGGATTTTACTTCTACAAATAAATCTTGTCAGATGC